GCGTCCCATACAGCACTACTCGCTCGCTCGTCCATGTGGGGGCCGCGGGGGAAATTCTGGGCTGAAGTCCACACATCTTGAAACATGCTGGCTGGGGAATTCTGGGAGTTGAAATCCACACGTTTTAAAGTTCCCGAGGTTGAGAAACACTGTTCTAGGCTGTGCTTTTCTGCATACCCCTCTCCTATCATCTTTGAAGACGACCCCAGGATTATGCAAAAGTAAAGCTCGACTGCAGCTCCTTGAAATCATGTAGCAAGAACGCTTCTCCCCAATGCCCCCCCAACAGGAAAAATGTTATATTCCCTTTTTTCCTAAAGGTTGTTTTTCACTCCAAACACCCAGGTATCTGCCCTGTGAACCGCAACACCATAGACTACCTCCTTTCCAAAAATGGCAGTGGCAATGCTGTCATCATCGCGGTCGGGGGCGCCGCAGAGTCCTTGAACTGCATGCCGGGGAAAAACTGTGTGACTCTGAAGCACCGGAAGGGATTTGTGAAGCTGGCATTAAGACACGGGTAAGGAGGGTAGAGGGCCCCGTTTGCCCTCCTGGGAGCTCAGCCCTTCTCGTATGTGCCGGAATTCCTGACAAGGGTGTTGGGAACAGGTGGATGGGCGTGGTCAAATGCGCGCATTGCTTTGGCCAGGCCTTGCTTTCCTCTGTGGCACAGTTAGTGATGCTTCTGAGAGTTGAAAATGTGCCTGCCTCTGGCGTGACCTTGCTTGCCTTGGCTCTGCTCTTACGCTTCCTTTGTAAATGAAGGACGGGGACCTCAGAGCAGACTTGGGGTCTCGCCAGAGCAGAAGGACGCGATAGAAATCAAAAGGCATTGGACAGCCTGGCTAGATCAATTGCACACTCGGTCCCCACCACGCCCATCATGGTCTGCCCCCAGGATGTGATTTCTGTAGCCTTGCCTTGCCGTTTTCTGCACTGCCAAACTGTCAGGTTCAGCCCAAAGAACTCCCCGAGACAGTGCAGATACAGTTCTGTTGCATTTATTAGCTTCCACCTCAAGACAGAAATCTCCCCAGGCTGAACCTAAATTCCCAAGCCCGC